CACCCACACACCCACACACCCACACACCCACACACCCACACACCCACATCCACATCCACATCCACACCCAGCCACCTACACCCACCCAAAATCACAGCCACACCACACCACAACGTAGTTTTGTAGAGCGTGAAAAAGTGCATCGATCTATGTTATTAGCTTTGGCATTGAGATTAAAATAGAAAAAAAATTATGAACATTACAGCTATTATCCGAAACACTGAAAACCTACGAAAGACTCATAGATCCCCAGACAATGTAGTCTTGGAAGAAACTTTCTCTGATCAAGAATAAATAACACTAAATATACAGAAGGGTGTAGAATGTCAAGCTCTATCTTGCCATAATATTGACAATGAAAACTGAGAGATGGTGAATTTACAATGAAATCCCGCGGTGTCCTTTACATAAAATATTTTTCATGGGGTGAAAAATAATACTTAACAATAATATTTGGTAACTTTATCTGTGGGAAAAAAGAGTGTCTGAATCATTTGCAGCTTATATAAATACGGCCATCGATTCGATGAATGTAGAAGCACCACATTATTTTCGTAATAGGGTTGTTTATGGGTCAATCTATGTAAGAATAATGAAGGAGTTTTCAATAAAACTGCGAGAAAAATCGACAAAAATCGTTGTCTTTGGACATTTAATGTCAATATAATCTCACGATTTTGGAACAATAAATGTCGATAAAATCACTGATTTTTGCGCGATTATGATCTCATGAGAACAGAATTCATTATTGTGCTATTGTTTTTTTTCTAAAAAAATGTCGTGCACTTAACCACGGAAAAATAGAAAAATGCAGCGTAATATCTGTTTTGTCGCGCGTTTTCTCTATAAAATCTTGTCACTTTTAGCATAGAAGTCAAATTTTTCAAATCAACCTGAAACTGATTTTCTGCATTTAGATATCTGATCGTTATCAATTATCATATCGAAATCAATCGAGTAAGTCCATGTTGCTTTCTTTCATTAATTTCAAGGAAATATTGCTTGGATTTACAGAGAAATGCGGGATAAGCTAGCTCATGCTTCTCGATTCATGGCATCCTCTCATTTGCGAACATAAAGTCGAATTCATATCTAATAGATATAGATCAAGTATCTGATGCAAAACATCATATTAAATAAATTGATGAAAGTTTGCTGTTTTCAATTTTCTTTCTTCATATTTCTTCGGATTTTTACTCAGGTAGATAGGATTCGTTGTGATTTCACCCCTTTATAAGTTAAAAGACAGCTCTTCTCCGATACCAGTGACTTGTCTTTTCTGATGAGACTACGTTAGAGCATGAATTCTTTCTATACTATCTATTTCTTTTCTAGTTCATGTTTCTGGGTTCATGAACGGTTGATAACTACAGAAAAAGAAAGTTAATAAATACCATTTGTAATAAATTGAGAGCATGCAACGCGATCCATAGAATTTATCCTTATTAACATTCATTATGAAATCGGGGGGGGGGGGTGCAAAATGTCTGGCTACCCGAATAATCTCTGGAGCAACACCTTAAGTGTGTGCTTGTGTGACTGTTTCTTCTTTTTCGACACCCATTGATACCCATACCCACATCCACATCCACACCCACCCTTTACTGAAAAGATCCTTTGTTTAACGGAAAAATTAGGGATGTAACAGTACCGGTACAATAATATAAAATCCGGTTAATACCAATGTCATTCAATTCTGACAATTCACTGCTGTATTGGCGCTGAAACATTCCCCATTTTAAGGTTCCGAAGAATTCTTAAAGATTTCTAAAGATTTCTAGAGATTTCTAAAAATTTCTAGAGATTCCTAAGGATTTCTAGAGATTCCTAAAGATTTCTAAAGATTTCTAAAGATTTCCAAAGATTTCTAAAGATTTCCAAAGATTTCTAAAGATTTCTAAAGATTTTCAAAGATTTTCAGAGATTTCCAAAGATTTTCAAAGATTTCCAAAGATTTTCAAAGATTTCCAAAGATTTCAAGGGTTAAAATCTGCTTTTTCCCCCTTGCACACCCCCCCCCCC